ATTGATATTTTATAGGATTATTATTATTATTTTATATTATTTTTATATATTTATATTTTATAGGATTATTATTATATATTTTATATATTAATATTTTATAGGATTATTATTATTATTTTATATTATTTTTATATATTAATATTTTATAGGATTATTATTATATATTTTATATATTAATATTTTATAGGATTATTATTATTATTTTATATTATTTTTATATATTAATATTTTATAGGATTATTATTATATATTTTATATATTAATATTTTATAGGATTATTATTATGATTTTATATATTAATATTTTATAGGATTATTATTATTATATTATTTTTATATATTAATATTTTATAGGATTATTATTATTATTTTATATTATTTTATATATTAATATTTTATAGGATTATTATTATTATTTTATATATTAATATTTTATAGGATTATAATTATTATTTTATATTATTTTTATATATTATCTTATTTCCAAAAATATGGGTTTGTCTATACTATAGAATTAATGCAGTTTGGTAGCGCTTGAACTGCTGTGGCTCAATGCCATGGAATCCTGGGAGTTGTAGTTTCACAAGGCCTTCTTGAGCTTTCCCTAGCAAAGAGTGCTGGTCTCTTGACAAACTACAAATCCCAGCATTCCATAGCATTGAGCCCAATGAGTTTGCATAGCTTAGGGGTTTGGGTCCGTGGTCTCCAGAGTCATATGGTGCATCTGCTCTGTGGAATTGATGCAGTTTGACGTCACTTTAACTGTTATAGCTGAATGCTTTCGTATTGTGGGCTCTGTAGTCTTCAAAAGCAGTCTTGGGCAAGAAAAAGGCTAAAGTCCTTGCAGAAAGTACAGCTCCTAGGGCCCCAGGGCATTGAAGCAAAGCTGGCAAGGTGGTGGGAGGAAGGAAGGGGGGAAGAAGGAAGAAGAAAAGAAGGAAGGAAGGAAAAGAAAGAAGAAAAGGAAGAAGAAAGAAAGTTAGAAGGGAGGAAAAAAAAAAGGGAAATAAGGGAAGGAAGGAAAGAATGAAAGAACGAAAGAAAAGTTGGAAGGAAAGAAAGAAAAAAGAAGGAAAGAAAGAAAAGTTAGAAGGAAGGAAAGAAAAGTTGGAAAGAAGGAAGGAAAACAGGAAGGAAAGGAAGGCAGGCAGGAAGGAAAGAAAGAGAGGAAGGAAGGAAGGAAAAAGGAAGGAAACAAGGAAGAAAAGAAAAAGAAAAGAGAAGAAAGAGAAGAAAGAAAGGAAAGAAAGAAAGAAAGAAAGAAAGAAAGGATAGAAGGAAGGAACGAAAGAAAGTCAGAAAGAAAGAAAAGAAATGAAAAGTTGGAAGGAAGGAAGGAAGGAAAACAGGAAGGAAAGAAAGAAGAAAATAAAATAAAGAAGAAAAGCAGGAAGGAAGGAAGGAAGGAAGGAAGGAAGGAAGGAAGGAAGGAAAGAAAGAAAGGATAGAAGGAAGGAACGAAAGAAAGTCAGAAAGAAAGAAAAGAAATGAAAAGTTGGAAGGAAGGAAGGAAAACAGGAAGGAAAGAAAGAAGAAAATAAAATAAAGAAGAAAAGCAGGAAGGAAGGAAAGAAAGAAGGAAGGAAGAAAGAAAGAGGAAGAAGGAAGGAAAAGGAAAGAAGAAAGAAAGAAGAAGAAAGAAAAAAGAAAGAAAGAAAGAAAGAAAGAAAGAAAAAAGGAAGGAGGAAGGAAGGAAGGAAAGGAAGAAAGAAGGAAGAAAGAAAAGAAAGGAAGGAAGGAAAACAGGAAGGAAAGAAGAAAGGAGGAGGAAGGAAAGAAGAAGGAAAGAAAGAAAGAAAAGGAAAGAAGGAAGGAACGAAAGAAGGAAAGGAAAGTTGGAAGGAAAGAAAGAAAAGTTGGAAGGAAGGAAAGAAGGAAAGGAAAGTTGGAAGGAAAGAAAAGTTAGAAAGAAGGAAGGAAGGAAAACAGGAAGGAAAGGAAGGTAGGAAGGAGGGAAAGAAAGGAAGGAAGGAAGGAAAAAGAAGGAAAGGAAGGAGGAAGAAGGAAGGAAGAAAAAAGAAAGAAAGAAAGAGGAAGGAAGGAAAAAAAAGACAGAAAGAAAGAAAAGAAAAGTTGGAAGGAAGGAAAGAAGGAAGAAGGAAAACAGGAAGAAAGGAAGAAGGGAAACAGGAAGGAAAGAAAGAAAGAAGGAAAAAAGTGGGAAGGAACGAAGGAAAGAAAGAGACAGAGAAAGAAGGCAGGCAGGAAAGGAAGGAAGGGGGAAAAAGAAGGAAGGAAGGAAGGAAGGGAAGTAGGTAGGAAACAGAGAGAGAAGGAAGAGAAGAAAGATAGAAAGAAAGGTAGGAAGGAAAAAGAGGGAAGTGATTCATACAACTGGGCCTGTGTCCCGGATCCCATTGTGTGCCTTTAGGCAAGAAGTCACACTCTCTCAGCCTAAGACCAGTCCCAAGAAGCTTTGACCAGAAACGGCCAAAGGTCACCCTGACCCCTTGACCATAGTTTCCCCATTGAGAAGTGGCACCCCTACTGGCAGACTGGGGAACAGCACCGCCCTTGCATGGACAATCAGGACCTCCCTCCCTCCCTTTGCATTGACCTTTAATTCTGGCCAGATTGCTCTTCAGCCACCAATGCAGCCAATCTCATGCGCCGATCATTGCTTCCCTCCCTCCCAGATAATTGCACATTGGTTGCGCACGTGCGTCTTGTGTGTCTTTTGAGTTTTTGGAGCAGAGGTGGGGTGGCAAAGGGTGTCTTCCAACCCATTGCAAGGGGGAACATGGCTAATTTTTGCATATGGGGTCTATATGTGTATGTGTGTGTGGGGTGGCATTCAAAAGCGGTTGGGGGGCAACCAAAGAGGGGGTCAGAGTGCATTGCAAACTGGCCACTGCTAATGTGGGGTGGGGGGCTACTAAATGATAGATGCACAATGGCAGCAGCGGGCACAACTGATGGACTACACTATTATTATTATTATTATTATTATTATTATTATTATTATTATTATTATCCCCTGAAAACATGTTTCCCCCCAACCCGGTCAATGGCAGTCATGCCCCTTGCCCACCCCCCCATAATGGCCACCCCACCCCCTCATAATGGCCACCCCATGCCAGTGCATTGCTAGTTAATGATTCTTGGGGTCATTTGCAAAGGTCCTGGATTTGGTCTGGAGGTTAATCATTGCAAGAAGAGTCAAAAACTAACCCTTGACTCCATTAGCGTTAATGCTGACTAGCAAAGCAAAGGGGCTCCCAAAGGGCATCCAGTCCACCCCTCTTGCCATACAAAGCATTCCCAGCAGATGGCCATCCAGCCTCAGTTGGGCTCCCTTGGTGGCTGCCCCTGATAATAGGCAAGTGGCTGATACAACGTTTGGGGTCCTCCAAGAATTCAAAACCCACAGCCAAGGATCTATGGGTGCTGCTCCCCCCCCCCCCCACTTGAAGGTTCTGACTGAGGCCACTGTCCATGCCAGGGAGGCTAAAGGTGGCCAGGCAGAGATTTGTGGTCAGTTGGAGAGCTGGGAGGAGGGGAGGCCAGCAAAGAGGGGGCTTTGGGGGGGGGGGGTCCTCTGGCCAGTGGATAATGAACCCAATGGAAAAAGGGATAACTTCCCATTCACCACCATTGTTCCCTCCCTCTTCCTTTCTTCCTTGCTTCTTCTTTCCTCAACTCTTTTCTTTCCTTTCTTTTCTTCTTCTTTCTTTCTTTCTTTCCTCCCTCCCTCCCTTCTCTAACTTTTTCCTCTTTCCTTCCTTCATATTCCCCTTCCTTCTCTCTCTTCTTTCCTTCCTTCCTTTGCTTCCTTCCTTCCTATCCTTCTTCCTTTCCTTCTTCCTTCCTTCTTTCCTTCCCTTCTTTCCTTCCTTCCTATTCCTCCCTTCCTTTTTTTATTTCTTCCTTCTTTCCTTCTTCCTCTTTCCTTCTTTCCTCCCTTTCTTCTTTCCCTTCTTCTTCTTTATTTCTTCTTCCTTTCTTTCTTTCTTCCTTCTTCTTTCTTTCCTTCTGTTCCTTCCTCCCTTCCTTGTTTTTTTCTTTCTTCCTTCTTTTTCCTTCCTTTTTTCCTTCTCTTCCTTCCCCTTCCTTCCTTCCTTCCTTCCTTCCTTCCTTCCTTCTTCCTTCCTTCCTTCCTTCCTTCCTTCCTTCCTTCCTTCCTTCCTCTTCTTTCTTTTCCTTCTTCTTTCCTTTTCCCTCCCTCCTTCCTCTTTCCTTCCTTCTTCTTCCTCCTTCTTCCTTCCTTCTTTCTTCCTTCTTCCCTTCTCTTTCCTTTCCTTCTTCTTCCTTCCTTTCTTCCCTTCCTTCTTCCTTCCTTCCTCCTTCCTCCTCCCTCCTTTTCCTTCTTTCCTCTTCTTTCCTTTTCCTTCCTCCTCCTCTTCCTCCTCCCTCCTCTCCCTTCTTCCTTCCTTTCTTCCTTCCTTATTTCTTTCCATTCTTCTTTCCTTTTCCTCCCTCCCTTCCTCTTTCCTCCTTCCTTCCTTCCTTCTCCCTTCCTTCTTCTTTTCCTTCTTTCCTTTCTCTTCTTTCCTTTCTTCTTCCTTCCTTTTCTTCCCTTCCTTCTCCTTCCTTCTTCCCTTCCCCCCTCCTTTCTTCTTTCCACTCTTCTTTCCTTTTCCCTTCCTCCCTCTCTTCCTCCCTCCCTCCCTCCCTTCTTCCTTCCTTCCTTATTTCTTTCCTTCTTTCCATTCTTCTTTCCTTTTCCTCCCTCCCAAAGGAAGGAAATCAGTGGACCTTCCCTTTTCAGGGGCCAGTGTCCTGCAGCAATGTTCCCCCCCCCCCACCACCACCAGTGCCTTAGACCTGGGTTTTTTTGGGGGGGGGGTGTTTTCTCTCCTTGTCCTCTGTTTCAGTTTGCAGCCAGTCGGAACGGACATTGGACCAGATTGGACTTGGTCACTCTAAGACCAGTTTCTCTCCTTAATTGGTGAACTTGGCTGTGTCTTGCGTCCAAGACCGGGGAGGGGGGGGGACTGAAGGGGTCCAGTCGGCCTCACTGACCTTTGACCCCCATCTCACTTCTCCCCCTTTTTTTTCCAGCAATCTTCCAGATGTGACTGCAGCTGACTTTGAGCGGGTCGACTTGTCCCAGTACAAATGGATCCATTGGGAGGTGAGTCTGGGTTGAGTTTCAAAGGTAGGGAAGGACTCATCACAGGTGTGTACTTGTGTCTGTTGCAGGCATGAATAGATACATAACCGCTTTGAGTGTAAATAATAATAATAATAATAATAATATAATATTATTATATAATATAATATTATAATATAATATATATATTATATATTATATATATTATTATATATATTATATATAATATTATATTATAATATAATATTATTATAATAATATAATATTATAATATAATAATAATAATATTATCTCCTGAAACGTCAGGAGAAATGCCTCTAGAACATGGCCATGTAGCCCAAAAAAACCCACAAGAACTGAATAATAATAATAATAATAATAATAATAATAATAATAGATACTGTTATCCCACTAACTTCTTATAGAACAGCAAACTTTGGCCCGCCAGGTCTTTTGGATTTCAACTCCCACAATTCCTAACAGCCAGAATCCTTCTGGGCAGGACTTCTTGCCTTGGCCTCTCCTTGAGGCTGAGAGAGTGTGGCTTTTGCCCAAAGCCCCCCAATGAGTTTCCATGGCTGAGTGGGGTTTTGAACTCCAGCCTCCACAAACGGATACACCATGCTAGACACAGATATAATTTTTGCTGAAAAGCGATTATTAGTTCTCGGTTTGTAAAGTAGAAATACTGTATTTCATCACATAATAGTCGCACCCCTATTTGGAGGGTGTAGCAAAATTGGTATCTTTGTGTTCCTCACATAATAGTCACACCCTGTGTTGAGGTAGCAAAATTGGTATCTTTGTGTTCCTTACATAATAGTCGCACCCCTGTGTTGAGGTAGCAAAATTGGTATCTTTGTATTCCTTGCATAATAGTTGTACCCTGTGCTGGGGTAGCAAAATTGATGTTTTTGTGTTCCTTACATAATAGTCGCACCCTATATTGGGGTAACAAAAGTGGTATCTTTGTGTTCCTTGCATAATAGTTGTACCCTGTGTTGGGGTAGCAACATTGGTATCTTTGTGTTCCTTGCATAATAGTCACACCCTGTGTTGGGGTAGCAAAATTGGTATCTTTGTTTTCATCGCATAATAGTTGCACCCTGTGTTGGGGTAACAAAAGTGGTATCTTTGTGTTCCTTGCATAATAGTTGCACCCTGTGCAGGGGTAGCAAAATTGGTATCATTGTGTTCCTTGCATAATAGTCACACCCTGTGTTGAGGTAGCAAAATTGGTATCTTTGTGTTCCTTGCATAATAGTCACACCTTATGTTGAGGTAGTAAAACTGGTATCTTTGTGTTCCTTGCATAATAGTTGCACCCTGTCTTGCGGTAGCAAAATTGGTATCGTTGTGTTCCTTGCATAATAGTCACACCCTGTGTTGGGGTAGCAAAAGTGGTATCTTTGTGTTCATCGCATAATAGTTGCACCCCGTTTTGGTGGTAGCAAAAGCAGGGTAGCAAAAGTGATATCTTTGTGTTCATTGCCTAATAGTCACACCCTATGTTGGTTTAGCAAAATTGGTATTTTCGTGTTCCTTGCATAACAGCTGTACCCTATGTTGGGGTAGCAAAAGTGATTTTTTTTTGTGTTCATCACATAATAGTCTCACCCTATTTTGCGGGGAAGCAAAAGTGTTATCTTTGTGTTTGGGCTGATTCTCCCTCTCTCCCTTCTTTCCATCCATCCTTTTGTCTCCAATGGAAAGGCAGTTTAAAACCTATGAAACTGAGGTCCCTGGTGCTCCACTCTTCTCTCCTTTCTCCTTCCTCTTAAGGTCTTTGGAGGAAGAAGGGAAGATCTGGGTTCCAGAGACCTCCAGTCCAGGTTTTTTAAGCCGCCTTCACATCTTGGAGGAAGAAAAAAGGAGAGAAGAGTGGAGCCCCAGATTTTTTTCCTCATGTAATAGTCGCACCCTGTTTTTTGATGGAGAAAAGGAGGAAAAGTGTGACAATTATGCGATGAAATATACGATATTTACTTCATACCTATTGTGGTGTTTCTCTTAGGAATTCTCAGGGGTATAATTAAACCTTCCAGGAGTAACTCAATGTCATTGCCATCAGAGGAGATTGCCCCACTTCCTGCCCCACTGAGATTATCTTTCTCCTTCAGGGAAGGAATGCCTCGGAGCAGGTGAAGATGCTGCAGCGGGTGGAGAACTACAACCGGAGCCTTCCACCCTCTGAGCGCGTGCAGACGTCCGTCGAGGTGGAGAAGCCCCGGCCTGAACTCTACCAGCTCCTCAGCCACGGAGACGTGGTAATGGGCCTCAGCAGGTTGGAGGGGGTCCCAGCTGGCCAGGAAAGGGGGCTCCTTCTGCCTCAAAGGGCAGGAAGAACCCTCATCTTGATTCTATGTAGGGTTTAGTTGGAGGTGCATCCCAGTAGGGTATTTATTATTTTGGTCTTAAGAATAACAACAACAACAACAACAACAACAACAATGGCTGTGGCTCACAAATGGAACTCTGAAAAAGGAGACAAAGGAGGGCCTGATTCTGGCAGCCCAAGAACAAGCCATTCGAACCAAGGCCATCCAAGCCAGAATTGAAAAGTCAACCACAGATCCCAAATATAGACTCTGCAAGGAAGCAGATGAAACAATGGATCCCATCCTCAGCTGCTGCAAGAAGATCGCGCAGATAGACTACAAGCAGAGGCACAACACCAATATAATATAATGCAATAATAATAATAATAATAGAAAAGTCGATAACAAATCCCAAATGTAGACTCTGCAAGGAAGCAGATGAAACAATAGATCCCATCCTCAGCTGCTGCAAGAAGATCGCGCAGACAGACTACAAGCAGAGGCACAACACCAATATAATATAATGCAATAATAATAATAATAATAGAAAAGTCGATAACAAATCCCAAATAGACTCTGCAAGGAAGCAGATGAAACAATAGATCCCATCCTCAGCTGCTGCAAGAAGATCGCGCAGACAGACTACAAGCAGAGGCACAACACCATATAATAGTAATGCAATAAAATAATAATAATAGAAAAGTCGATAACAGATCCCAAGTGGTAGACTCTCAAGGAAGCAGATTGCGCAGACAGACTCCAAGCAGAGGCACAACACCGATATAATATAATGCAATAATAATAATAATAATAATAATAATAATAATAATAATAATAATAGAAAAGTCGATAACAAATCCCAAATGTAGACTCTGTAAGGAAGCAGATGAAGCAATAGATCCCATTCTCAGCTGCTGCAAGAAGATTGTGGACAGACTCCAAGCAGAGGCACAACACCAATGTAATATAATGCAATAATAATAATAATAATAATAATAATAATAATAATAATAATAATAGAAAAGTCGATAACAAATCCCAAATGTAGACTCTGCAAGGAAGCAGATGAAACAATAGATCCCATCCTCAACTGCTGCAAGAAGATTGTGGACAGACTATAAGCAGAGGCACAACACCAATGTAATATAATGCAATAATAATAATAATAATAATAATAATAATAATAATAATAATAATAGAAAAGTCGATAACAAATCCCAAATGTAGACTCTGCAAGGAAGCAGATGAAACAATAGATCCCATCCTCAGCTGCTGCAAGAAGATTAGCAGAGAGACTACAAGCAGAGACACAACACCAATGTAATATAATGCAATAATAATAATAATAATAATAGAAAAGTCGATGACAAATCCCAAATGTAGACTCTGCAAGGAAGCGGATGAAACAATAGATCCCATCCTCAGCTGCTGCAAGAAGATCGCGCAGACAGACTACAAGCAGAGGCACAACACCAATGTAATATAATGCATCAAAGCCAGAATTGAAAAGTCAACGACAGATCCCAAATGTAGACTCTGCAAGGAAGCAGATGAAACAATAGATCACATCCTGAGCTGCTGCAAGAAGATCGCGCAGACAGACTACACGCAGAGGCACAACACCATAATAATAATAATAATAATAATAATAATAATAATAATAATAATAGAAAAGTTGACGACAGATCCCAAATGTAGACTCTGCAAGGAAGCAGATGAAACAATAGATCCCATCCTCAGCTGCTGCAAGAAGATCGTGCAGACAGACTACAAGCAGAGGCACAACACCGTTGCTCAGATGATTCATTGGAACTTGTGCCACAAATACCATCTGCCTGCGACAAAGAACTGGTGGGATCACAAGCCGGAAAAAGTTACAGAGAATGAACACGCCAAACTCCTCTGGGACTTCTGGATTCAGACAGACAGAGTTTTGGAGCATAATACTCCTGACCTCACAATTGTGTTAAAAAACAAAGTATGGATCGTTGATGTCGCAATCCCAGGTGACAGCAGGATTGAAGAGAAACAACTGGAAAAGCTGACACGATATGAGGATTTAAAGATCGAACTGCAAAGACTCTGGCACAAGCCAGTCAAGGTGGTCCCAGTGGTGATTGGCACACTGGGTGCAGTGCCTAAAGACCTTGGCCTGCACTTAAACACAATCGGCGCTGACAATATTACCATCTGCCAGCTGCAAAAGACCACCTTACTGGGATCTGCACGCATTATTCGCCGATACCTCACACAGTCCTAGACACTTGGGAAATGTCCGACGTGTGATCCAATTCAATAGCCAGCATTGTGATCTTGTTTGCTGTTTACTAATTTTGTTATGTATCTAATAATAATAATATAATGATTTTATTTATTTCTCGTGTCAGGGCAGCCAGTCAAATATATTACATTTCTAACAGAACAAAGCAAACAAACAGACAAAATACAAAATTTGTAAGTTTGGTAGTTGATTAAATGTCCTTTGACCAGTATCTGGCCACTTGGAGTGCTTCTGGTGTTGCTGCAAGATGGTCCTCCATTGTGCATGTGGCAGGGCTCAGGGTGCATTGCAGCAGGTGGTCAGTGGTTTGCTCTTCTCCACACTCGCATGTTGTGGATTCCACTTTGTGCCCCCATTTCTTGAGGTTGGCTCTGCATCTCGTGGTGCCAGAGCGCAGTCTGTTCAGCGCCTTCCAAGTCGCCCAGTCTTCTGTGTGCCCGGGGGGGAGTCTCTCATTTGGTATCAGCCATTGGTTGAGGTTCTGGGTTTGAGCCTGCCACTTTTGGACTCTCGCTTGCTGAGGTGTTCCAGCGGGTGTCTCTGTAGATCTTAGAAAACTATTTCTAGATTTAAGTCGTTGACATGCTGGCTGATACCCAAACAAGGGATGAGCTGGAGATGTAATATAATGATAATAATACATTTCTTACATACATCACAGGAAAGTATATATTATATAGGTCTTAATACTAGAAGTTGTTGTTGTTGTTTTATTATTTGAAACACAACAAGATGAATCCACAGGAGACATTCTGCTTGAATTGGATCACAATTGTTGTTGTTGTTGTTGTTGCTGTTATTATTATTATTATTATTATTATTATTATTATTATTTCTTACCCACATCCCAGGAAGGTGTATATTATATTTGGTTTTAAATGCTTATTTATGTTTTATTTTATTTTATTTCTTACCCACATCCCAGGAAGTTATATTGATAATTTCCTCCTCCTCTTCCTCTTCCTCTTCCTCCTTTTCATTTTCTTCCTCCTTTTCCCCTGCCTCCGCCTCTTCTTCTTCCGCCTCTTCTTCCTCCTTTTCTTTTTTCCTCTTCTTTTTCTTTCTTCTCCTTTTTCTTTTTCCTCTTCTTCTTCCCCTTCCTCTTCTCTCTTCTCTCTTCTTTCTCTCTTTTCTCCTCTTTTTTCATCCTCTCTTCTTTTTCCCTTTTCTTTTCCTCTTCCTCTCTCCTTCTCTTCCTCTTCTTTTTCTTTCTTCTTATTCTCCTTCTCCTTTTTCTTTTCCTTCTTCTTCACCCCTCTCATTCTTCCTCCTCCTCCTCCTTCTCATCTTCCTCTTTCTCCCCCTCCTCTTTTTTCCCTCCTCATCTGCTTTTTCTTCTCTTTTTTCTTTTTGCTCTTCCTCTTTTTCCTCTCCCCTCTTATACTTCCTCCTCTTCCTTCTCATCCTTCCTCCACTTCTTCTTCATCATCTTCCTCTTTGTCCTCTTCTTCTTTTTCTTCTTCCTCCTCCTCTTCTTTCTTTCTCCTCTTCCTCCTCTTTCCCCTCCTCCTCCTCCTCTTCTTCTTCCTGGAATGGAAATACATGTCATTTGGGGTTCAGCACAGCTCGGGAGGCCGTCCTGGGGCTGCGCAGCCGAGTGAAGGAGGGGTGAGCGGACAACGAAGTGTACCCACCTTACCCTGTGTGCCCAGGGGGAGTCTCTCATTTGGTATCAGCCATTGGTTGAGGTTCTGGGTTTGAGCCTGCCACTTTTGGACTCTCGCTTGCTGAGGTGTTCCAGCGAGTGTCTCTGTAGATCTTAGAAAGCTATTTCTTGATTTAAGTCGTTGACGTGCTGGCTGATACCCAAACAAGGGATGAGCTGGAGATGTCTCTGCCTTGGTCCTTTCACTATTGGCTTCTCCTTCCCAGCGGATGTCAGGTGGTGTGATACCGGCCAAGCAGTGTAATTTCTCCAGGGGTGTAGGGCGCAGACACCCCGTGATAATGCGGCATGTCTCATTAAGAGCCACATCCACTGTTTCAGTGTGGTGAGATGTGTTCCACACTGGGCATGCGTACTCAGCAGCAGAGTAGCATAGCGCAAGGGCAGATGTCTTCACTGTGTCTGGTTGTGATCCCCAGGTTGTGCCAGTCAGCTTTCGTATGATATTGTTTCTGGCTCCCACTTTTTGCTTGATGTTCAGGCAGTGCTTCTTGTAGATCAGAGCAAGGTCCAGAGTGACTCCCAGGTATTTGGGTGCGCTGCAATGCTCCAGTGGGATTCCTTCCCAGGTAATCCTCAGAGCTCGGGATGCTTGTCTGTTCTTAAGGTGAAAAGCACATGTCTGTGTTTTAGATGGGTTAGGGATCAGCTGGTTTTCCCTGTAATAGGCAGTAAGAGCACCTAGAGCTTTGGAGAGCTTCTGTTCAACCATCTCAAAGCTCCCTGCTTGAGTGGTGATGGCACGATCATCAGCATAGATGAAGCTCTCTGTCCCTTCTGGCAGTGGCTGGTCATTTGTGTAGATGTTGAACATGGAAGGAGCAAGCACGCTCCCCTGAGGCAGGCCGTTCTTCTGTTTCCGCCATCTGCTTCTCTGGCCCTGGAACTCAACAAAAAAGCTCCTGTTTTGTAGCAGGTTTCCTATGAGGCAGGTGAGCTGGTAGCTGTAATTGATTACTATAGATCAGTGGTTCCCAACCTTTGGCCCTGCAGGTGTTTTGGACTTCAGCTCCCACAATTCCTAGGATTTCTGGGAGTTGGAAGTCCAAAACAAATAGAGGAACAAAGGTTGAAAACCACTGTTATAGGCAACCACTTGCAGCACTTCCAAGGATAGGGCCTTGGTGGTGGGTCCTTGAGTAACTATAGATTCCCTCCTTCTCTCCATAGGTCCACCTTGATCTGTGCATGGGCCGAGAAGGGGGCGGACGCCGTAGGGCCAGATGGGGTCTTAGTGCACTCGGACGCCTTTCCCCCAGAGAAGGTGGTGGACACCTTGGGGGCCGGAGACACCTTCAACGCCGCCGTCATCCTGGCTCTCAGCAGAGGTGAGTCCATCCATCCATCCAGCTCACCTGGGCCCACCTGGGCTTTGGAATGGGTAATTGTGCCCCACAACAGGCTCCATAAGAAGGAGAGTGGGTCAAGAAGGATCTGTCCACTTCCGCAAGCCTGGAGCAAAGGGTTTCCCCTGATAATCCCGTTATGAAATAAAATGTATGGTTTGGATGAAAGGTCTATAGTTGGGGGACCTATAGAGGCCGAAGATACTCTTTGAAGAAATGAAGCCTGGAAAACTACAAAAATAAAATAATTCATGAACTCTAATTACTAGAATTCATGAACGGATAAGAATTGTGACAAGGATTAACTGTTGACATGGCTGACTTGATTAACTCTTGGTGGAAAACAACATGTTTACATAGTCAAAGGCTGTCCTGTACTTCTTCAACCTGTGGCCAGTTGATTCATCAGGTGTTCTGCTATGGTTGACTTCTCTGGTTGAATGTGTCTGCAGTGCCTTTCGTGTTCTTTGATTAGTGTTTGGGAAATGTGCTGCATTTGGGGGTCCCTATGTAGACTTATTGTCCACAGCTGCATGGTATCTGGTAAACATCAGGAGAGAATGCTTCGAGAACACAGCCATACAGCCCGAAAAACCTACAACAACCCAGCGATTCCAGCCATGAAAGCCTTCAACAAAACTAATAAGAACTGTGACAGTGATAACATAAATGTTTACAATGTTATGAAGGAAGTCAACACAAGGCTAACACCAGTCAAGAAGAATCAAGATCTGGCCAGGAAACTGGGATGGAGCCAGGATGGAAGTCGTCTATCATTCATTAACAACTTTAGGACAACATCAGCAGAATATTCCTATAAAAGACTCAATCTAATAATTTTCAAATTGTGGCAGACCTGAGGAGTCTGGTTCACCCGCCATGCTCAGGTCCATGGGAAGGACAGAGATGGTGTGTTCAGAGAGTGTCAGATCTGCTATGGGAAAGCATGATTCTGAGTTGTTGTAGGTTTTTTCGGGCTGTATGGCCATGTTCTAGAGGCATTCTTTCCTGACGTTTCTCCTGCATCTACAACAACAACAACCTACAACAACCCAGTGATTCAGGCAATGAATGCCTTCGACAATAGCATGATTCTGGTCACTTTGGCCTTATTTCTCAAGGGAAGAGGAAGAAGTGCATTTTTGGAGTCTTGGATTTTGTGCAGGGAGTCAGGTTCTGCGGTAAGGAAAACAGAGATCTGGTCCTTGGCATTGTGCTTAGGGAAAGAAGTTTTGGCATTTCAGCATTTTGAAGTTTTGGCGTTATGGAAGTTTTGGAACTGTGTGTTGGCAGGCTGCAGGAAAGCAGGGCCTGGTCTAAACAGGTGCTTCTCCAAGGAGGGAGAAAAGGATATAATAATATTTGTGTGCATGAGGATGAATGCATGTTCATGTGATGTGAGTGCAGAGTGAAAATGTAACTCCCCTTTTGGGTTGTTGTAGGTGTTTTCAGGCTATATGGCCATGGTCTAGAGGAATTCTCTCCTGACATTTCGCCTGCATCTATGGCAAGCATCCTCAGAGGTAGTGACCTCACTATCTCTGAGGATGCTTGCCATAGATGCAGGAGAGAATGCCTCTAGACCATGGCCATATAGCCCGAAAACACCTACAACAACCCAGTGATTCCGGCCATGAAAGCCTTCGACAACTCCCCTTTTGTTTGTTTGTTGGTCATGTAACTGGCAATCCAATGTAGTTGCATAGAATCTATATGTCTAATGTCATTCTTTCTGTAATCTGATACACCTTCTCACACTAGAAATTGCAATAAAAAGAACCTATGCTTTAAAATTATTCATGACACCCTCCTCCTTCTCCATTGCAGGGAAGCCCCTCGGAGAGGCGCTGACCTTCGGCTGCCAAGTGGCCGGGCGCAAGTGTGGGCTGCACGGCTATGACGGGATCGTGTGAGACGCGGATGGGACGGCACGGCTGCTCTTGCCACCCTTCCAGAGGGAGAGAACAAGCATTTTTGCAGGACCACCACATATGAAAAAATGACCTTCTTGCAAGACTACCACATACAGAAAAAAAAATTATCTCCTCCTGAACCACTGCAGGAGTTTACCGCATACTGTGCAGCAATAAACCAGTCGTCAACATAGGGACCACCAAATGCAGCATTGGCCACATACGAACCAAAGAACATGAAAGGCACTGTAGACTAATTCATTGTAAGTCGCTCCAAGTTCCTTCGGGGATAGGGATGGGATATAAATAAAGTTATTATTGTTATTATTTATTGTTATTTCAACCAGAAAATTCATCCCGAGCAGAGCTCTTGATGAACCAACCTGGGCACAGCATAATATTTGAGAACACTGACATTCTGGACCACTCAGAACCACCATGTCAGGCTACACATCGAAGCCACTGAAATCCACAAGCATGTGGACAATTTCAACAAAAAGGAGGAAACCATGAAAAATGAACAAAATCTGGCTACCAGTATTAGAAAACACCAGAATCAAGACAATAAATAAAGAACGCCACCTGGACACAGGAAGTCTCCAGAGAGTAAGCAATCAAGAGCTTACTCAGACAAAGTGTATGATTGGCCTTTGTTCCCTTTGGCTGTAGGCAGCAAACCATGCAAATGGAACCAAGGCTTCCATGCAGATGCTCTACTCACATGCTAATGGGTGGGTCCCACTCAATACCTACACATCTAGCTTGCTAATTGCACCCCTTTCCCCATATAATAACAATAACAATCTGTACAAATAAAAATGTAATGTTTGTGGGATTAACATAACTCAAAAACCACTGGACGAATTGACACCAAATTTGGACACAAGACATCTACTAACCCAAGGAGTGACCAAAAGCCTGGTACCAAAACCACGATTTCAGTTTTTGCCTAAATAAAAGGAGGGAGGATGCAGATCTAATCTCGCTGGAGAGCAAATTCCACAAGCAGGGTATCACCACCAAGAAAGCCCCGTCCCTCGGTCCCACCAGACACGTTTGCGAGGCTGGTGGGACCGAGAGCAGGGCCTCCTCGGTTGATCTTAAACTACGAGGCGGAACGTAGAGGGAGATACATTCAGACAAATGCCCTGATTTTGATGCAGAGGGGTCCGAAAGGTGACGAAAGTGTTCTCATGCCCCATAAAGGATGTTTAGGGACAAAGATGGTTGACATCCAGGGACCCACAACAGGGACGCCTTCCATTTAGATTGGGATTGCACAGCCCTCTTCTCCCTTCTACCAGTAGTAGTAACGTCACTATCACGCTGTACTACAACAGATTGTGTTCAAGCATAAAGGCTATCCAAAGCTAAAATGCAAACCTGCCTTCTTCATAGTGCTTAGAATTTTGGAAACTGATCAGCCAGTAAATCTAGATTCAGACTGACATCACGGTTTGGATTCTTATTTTGCTTCCAATATGTTCTCCGAGCTATAAATGTGCATTACTTTGCCACCTCCCGCCCCAGTGCAAAGAATGAGGCGTTTCAGAGCAAATGGCAAGCCAAGAATAAAGAGCACTTTGGCGCATCTCACCCCCATGAAACTCCTTTCAAAGTAGAACGAACAATCTCAATTAGGATTGTACATCACAGCCTTTGCATCGTAAATACACAAATCTGCAGCTGTGTTGCAGAAATACCGTGCCAAATGAATCTCCGAGATGTGTAACCCTGATCCGTTCGTGCTTCTGATGCATTTCAGAGACACCTTCAGAATGCATGTTGTTGTTGTTGTTGTTGTTGTTGTTGTTGTTGTTGTTGTTGTTGTTGTTGTTATCGCAGCGCTCTCTGGACCATCCTCCAAAACATCGGGTGCCCTAACAAATTAGTGAACATCCTGTGACTCCTCCATGATGGCAACAGTCTTGGACAGCAATGGCTCCCAAAGTGACCCATTTAAGGTGGATTTGGGTGTCAAACAGGGATGTGTTATTTCCCCAACTTTATTCTCCATTTCATCGCTATGAGACTTCATCTTGTGGATGGGAAGCTTCCCACTGGAATGGAAATCATCTATCAGACAGATGGCAAGCTATTTAACCTCAGCAGACTGAAAGCCAAA